TCAAGCTGGCTAATATATGTATGACTGAAATATTAAAAATAGGGAAGGGCATAAAAACTACTAAAAAATCATAGTTGAAAATTTCAAGTTTGATCAAAAGTATAAACACAGATTCAATAATCTCAGCAAATCTCAAGTAGGACAAATAAAAAACATCAAATTATTTCATGATCAAATAGCTGAAAGCCAGTAATAAAGGTAAAATCATTTAATTAAGCAAAGAAAAGATGCACAATACATAAAAAGAAAAATGCTTTTAAATAATTGCAGATGTATAATCAGAAACAAAATACATGCCAAACACAGTGAAATTTTCAGTGTAAGTTCTGAAAGAAATAGAAAAAAAATTACTAGTCTAGAATTCAATACCAGCAAAAATATTATTTTGTTAAGACAAATGTTTTTAAAGAAACCAATTGCATAAACTAGGCTGAGATAACACAGTGTAAGTCATCCTGCATTACAAAAAAATGTAAAGGGAAGTTTTTCAGATTAAAGAAAATCATAACAGATTTAAATGTAAAACTACATAACATAATATAGAGCAATAAACATGCAGAATATGTGGGCACATATAAGAATTCCTTCAATCATTAATCTTCCACCTGAAGTAACAAACAAACCACACACAAAAACTATAATATAATTAGTCTCACAAATACCGGACCTTGGACAATAAAGAACAGTGATCCCGAAGAAGCAGGGAAGAAATGATATGTTCCCTAATATTGCCCTAGTAGTACCCAGACTAACTTTTCAAGCCACAGCATAGGATGGTGGGACTCAGGTGGAATAGAGAAGTATTTTTGAATTGAAGAGATAGAGCTGGGAGACTGGAGAGGTCAAATCAGCTAGATATCAAAGGCCAATATTGTGGAAAATAGAAAGCTGCACGGAGAGAACTCTGGACATCTGCAGAGAAATTCTCTCTCATATTTAACTGATTTAGCTGAGTGCTGACCAGTGCATATGTGTGAGGTGTTTATGTGAGGCTAAGAAAAGAACCACACAAAAGAATTAGATGAAAAATTCCTCAGAGTTTACACAAGGCAGGGCATAAAACGTATTCTCACCATTCAAAGTGAATAATCTTATAATTCTGGGAAATAAGTAGAAGTATTGGAATTTTTTTTTTATTTTAAACTTTAGTAGTGGGAATATTTAATGCTAGATTAAACACAGAATTGGTATCATCTAATAAAGTTAAATGTAATACCCCAAGGCATCAAATTTTTTCAATGTAACTTAAATATGTTCCACAACGAAGCTCAAGAATATTTTTAGAAATGAAAATATATCCATCACTCAGCAAGATAAAATTTACAATGTTTGTTATCCAAAACAAAATTAACACACATGAAAACATAGGGGACATAATAACATAATGATAAGAAACATTAATCAATCATAAGGTATCCAGAGTTTACACATTATAAATTTAGTATGCGAAGACACTAAAATAATTGTATTACAGTATTCCATATTCTCAATAAGCGAGAGAACAAATTTAAAATATTACCTTCCTAAATGAAAGATAGACATAGACCCAAAAAGAATTCCTAGAGATTAAAATGTCATTTCAGAATACATAATTAGTGAATGTAAGTGTTACAATGGAAACTATTTGAAATGAAGCACACGAAGATAAAATAAGTAGAATATAACTATGCTGTAAAAAATAAGAAACCTTCAAACTACTTAATACATGTGGAGGTGGATTATCTGAAGGAGAGGAGAAAGTGGAATAATAGAATATTTGAAGAATGCACAGCAGCAGGATGGTGCAATTGGACTCTCTAGCTGTTGCTCTCCTATAGAAACATCAATTTGAATAATTATCTACAAGTAAAACCACCTTCACAAGAGCTAAGAAAACTAGGTTATAAAGTCTCTGGGTGTAAGACACATGCACACACAACGATGCATTCAAGAAGGCAAGAAGGACAGTTTCACATTACCAGTGTCATCCCTTCTCTAATCCAGAAAGCACAGCATGGACAACAATACCTTCCACTTGGAGGAAGGAGAGAGAAGTGAACACTGAATTTTGCCTTGAACCTCAATCAGGCCTGCTCCGTTTGAAACCCCTATTAAACAGATTTCAAGTTTTAAACCTGTATGATAGACTCAGCTCTGGGCCCACCCCATCACGAAGTCAACCACAGTGACCTCAAGTTCCAGACCAGTCCCAGTGTCAGACAGATGCAAGCCACCTCAGGTTTCAGGCCTTCCTCCGTGCTGGGTTAGCCCTCATAGACATTTATGCAGCCAACAAACATGAAAAAATGCTTATCATCACTAGTCATTAGAGAAATGCAAATCAAAACCACATTCAGATACCATCTCATGCCAGTTAGAATGGTGATCATTAAAAAGTCTGGAGACAACAGGTGCTGGAGAGGATGTGGAGAAATAGGAAGACTTTTACACTGTTGGTGGGAGTGTAATCTAGTTCAACCATTGTGGAAGACAGTGTGGTGATTCTTCAAGGATCTAGAAATAGAAATACCATTTGACTCAGCAATCCCATTACTGGGTATATACCCAAACGATTATAAATTGTTCTATTATAAAGACACATGCACACGCATGTTCACTGCAGCACTGTTTACAATAGCAAAGACCTGGAATCAACCCAAATGCCCATCAAGGATAGACTAGATAAAGAACATGTGGCACATATGCACCATGTAATACTATGCAGACATTAAAAAGGATGAGTTCATGTCCTTTGCAGGGACATGGGTGAATCTGGAAACCATCATTCTCAGCAAACAGACAGAAGAACAGAAAACCAAACACCACATGTTCTCACTTATAAGTGGGTGTTGAACAATGAGGAGACATGGACACAGACAGGGAACATCACACACTGGGGTATGTTGGGGGCTGGGGAGCTGGGGGAGGGATAACATTGTGAAAAATACCTAATGTAGGTGATAGGGGGAGGTAGGTAGCAAACCACTATGGCATGTGTGTATCTATGTAAAAATTCTGCAAGACCTGCACATGTACCCTAGAACTTAAAGTATAATACTAATAAAAATAGAAGTCTTGGCCAGGAGCGGTGGCTCATGCCTGTAATCCCAGCACTTGGGAGGCCGAGGCGAGCAGATCACGAGGTCAAGAGATCGAGACCATCCTGGCCAACATGGTGAAACCCCATCTCTACTAAAAATACAAAAATTAGCTGAGCGTGGTGGTGCGTGCCTGTAGTCCCAGCTACTCAGGAGGCTGAGACAGGGGAATTGCTTGAACCTGGGAGGCAGAGGCTTCAGTGAGCCAAGATTGTACCACTGCACTCCAGCCTGGTGCCTGGCGACGGAGCAAGACTGTTTCAAAAAAAGAAAAAAAAGTTTTTCAAATCCTTTAATAAAATTATTCCTAATTATTTCGCTTGTTTCTAGGATACTATAATAAGTCTTAAAGCTTAAATTTTATTTTTAATAGTTGCTAAGCAAATATAAAAATGTTTCAATTTTCCTTTAATTTTAATAAATTAACATATTAGTTTTTTAGTTTTTAAAAAAATTATTTGGGATTTTCTATGTTAACACTTATGTCATATGTTTTTTGTTATTATTGTCTTTTATTTATTTTTAATTTTATTTCATTTTTTGGAGTATTTCACTGGCTATGACCTACCATATATGATTAATAAAAATGGTGGGAGGAGAGTCCTTGTATTGTTGACATTACAGGGGAAGTATTCACTAACACACCATTAAGTGTGATGCTATTTGTAGATTTTTCATGGGTGCTCTTTCTCTTTGAGGAGTTTACCTACTATGCTTAGTTTTCTTATAATTTTATTATGAGTTGATATTGATTTTTAAAAATGCTTTTTCTGCATATGTTGAGAAAAAATATATTTTTCATCTTTATTTATCTAATATGGTAAATTACAGATTGATTATCAAATGTTAAATTGACTTTGCATTTCTAAGTTAAACCTACTTTGTCATAATTTTTATATACATTTGTCTTGATAATTTATCTCTGTACTTTAGTTTCATTATTGTAGTTAAAAATCTTGGCTTCTACTCTGTCTAATCTACTGAGAAGAGCATATATGAGTTAATTTCATATTCCATTTTTCAATTACAAAAGTTACAATTTATTCACTTGAATTTTATCTAATTTTCTAGTGAAATTCTTTTTATTAATTTTCTTTAATTTTAAAATGATAGTTATTTTAAATCCCACTACTGCTAAATGCAATATCTATGCCAACTATGCATTTGTTCCCATTATCTGTTTTATTCCTGTAATTTGATCATTTTGTTCTGTTCCTAGCATGCTTGATATATTTTTAATACCGCATTTTGTATATAAATATAGTAAAAATTTCAGATGGTATTAACCTATTCTAAAAAGGATTTTATTTTATTTTAGAAGAAAGGCAGTAATGAAAATTGCCTTAATACAGGTTATCCTGGTCCATTTTGAATTTGATCTTATTCTTAGAACATAGCCATTTCACAAGACTAAGGCTTGTGGCATTTGCAAGGGTCTTTCTTCCATGGTTGCCATGAATTTGAGATTTTCTCTTTCCAATTCATGAAATTGCCTAATGTTGTATACTTTACATTTTTTTTCTTTTTAAAGCTGTTTTCTGACTAGTTTCTTTTCTGGTTTTAATTATTTGTAGCTTAGGAACCAGAAACTTCTTTGAGGGAATATTGCAAAATTGCATACAGAATACTGTGCTTTTCTTTCTGTGTTTCTCTATTCTCTATTATCTTGACCTCTCCAGTCCTGACAGTCTTAATAATCTTGAACTACGAAGTTTGTTTCTATAGTGAAGTGAGATAGTTACAAGCTGTAAACCATATTTATTTTTTTGACCTACAAGCCCAGAGTGGTAAATTGGCAAATGACATCAGAGAAAAGTGGCTGGAAAGGGAAGCAATATCTGATTGATTTTCTTCTTCTCTGTGATGTTGCCCACTCAATTCCTGAATGCCTCAGTTTCCTTTCCTTCCTTTTGGTTTTTATAGATGTTCTAGTTGGGTAGACTGGTCTATGCTGGTTATAGCCCCATATTTTATGCTCGAAGTGATCACATATACTTCTACTTAAGATGATTTACTATGCTCTGTTCAAATCATTAATAATCACCATCAATGAGAGAAAACTGATTTGCATAAGTAAGTTATATTTTTTATTAAACCCTTTCTTACTACTTTTCAAATTTTTGCAAACATTGAAATTATTAATTTTACTCTAATAGCTGTTTTTGTTCATTCACTGACAAATTTAATGTTGTAAATTGCTGTGATAATATCAAAAGGTTTTAAATTCAGTCTTTTTAAAGTCTGATATTTTTATATGCAGTATTGATGAATGGCAAATTTTGTAGACTGCACATACATTATTAGAGTTGTCATTTTAAGTTAGTATATATGCTAGACATTACTAATCATACGTATATGAAGACAAAAGAATATTTAAGTGTTTACCTCAACCTTTAGTTAGACTGGTTGACTACTAAACTACTGAAATCAGATGAATAGGGGACTAATGGTAGTAATCTAATCTTACAAAAATACAAAAATAAAAAAAGAATTTTTAGAAATACTACATGCCAACAAATTAAATAAATTGGAAGAAATAGTCCAATCCTTAGAAAGACATGAACTACTTAAATTCACTCAAGATATAAGATGCTTCCTCAACCTGCTCATTCTGAAATAAACAGCATGTTATAATAAGAGTTCAAGGAGGAAGGCAGCAAATCACACTGCCATATGTGTACCTATGCAACAATCTTGCATGTTCTTCACGTGTACCCCAAAACCTAAAATGCAATAAAAAAATTAACATTAAAAAAAAGAGTTCAAGTAAAGTGTTATAGTGTACTTAACACAAAATTAATTAATTTCAACTGAGAGAATCAGTGTGAGTTTAATAAAGGCAGAGCTAAAGTAAGTGGCATAAATAAAAATAAATTTTGTTAGATAGCGAATTTATTTCAAAAGGTTCAAGGAGACACAAATGAAGGCATGGCCATCAGAACATATATTGCTTGGTTGGTAACATTGGGGGCAATGTGTCTGGAGCCTTTGTGTATGGAGGGCTCTAGTTAAAGATTAGATATTTAAAAGGCAAATTGGGTTACTCAATTATGAAATTTGCCAGAGCAATTAGGCAAGAGAAAGAAATAAAGCACATCCAAATTGGAAAGAAGAAGTCAAATTGTCCCTGTTGGCAGATTTCATCATCTTATATCTAGAAAAACAAGAGTCTATCAAAAAAACAAACAAACAAACAAAAAAACCCCAGTTAGAACTGCTAAATGAATTCAGAAAAGTTGTAGGATAAAATTAATAAACAAAAATTAGTAGCTTTCCATACACAAACAAGAGTCTAGCTGAAAAAGAAATCAAGAAGGCAATGCCTTTTATAATAGCAACAAAAATACCTAGTAATAAATGTAATCAAAAAGGTAAAAGACTTTTTAAAGGAAAACTACAAAACGCTGTTTCAAGAAATTGAAGAGGATACAAAACAAATAGAAAAACATCTCATGTTTGTGGATTAGAAGAATTGCTGTTAAAATGACAATATTACCTAAAGGAATTCACAGATCCAATGCAATCTTTATCAAAATACCAATAAGTTTCCTCACAAAATTAGAAAAGAAAATTCTAAAATATGTTGGAACCACAAAAAATAGCCAATGTAATTCTGAGCAAAAAGAACAAAGCTGGAGATATCACATTATAAGAGTTCAAAATATACTACAAAGCTGTAGTAACCAAAACAGCATAATACTAGCATAAAAAGAAACACATATGGTAATGGAGCAGAGTAGATAACATAGAAATTAAATCACATATCTACAGCTAACTGATTTTTTTTTTATTATACTTTAAGTTGTAGGGTACATGTGCAGACCTTGCAGGACTGCTACATTTGTATACACATGCCATGATGGTTTGCTGCCTCCATACCCCCTTCACCTACATTAGGTATTTCTCCTAATGTTATGCATCCTGAACCTTCTCACCCCCTGCTATCGCTCCCCTAGCTCCCTCAACAGACCCCAGTGTGTGATGTTCCCTGTCTGTGTCCATGTGTTCTCATTGTTCAACACCCACTTATGAGTGAGAACATGTGGTGTTTGGTTTTCTGTTCTTCTGTCTGTTTGCTGAGAATGATGGTTTCCAGATTCATCCACGTCCCTGCAAAGGACATGAACTCATCCTTTTTTATGTCTGCATAGTATTACATGGTGTATATGTGCCACATTTTCTTTATCTAGTCTATCCTTGATGGGCATTTGGGTTGGTTCCAGGTCTTTGCTATTGTAAACAGTGCTGCAGTGAACATGCGTGTGCATGTGTCTTTATAATAGAACAATTTATAATCGTTTGGGTATATACCCAGTAATGAGATTGCTGAGTCAAATGGTATTTCTATTTCTAGATCCTTGAAGAATCACCACACTGTCTTCCACAATGATTGAACTAGATTACACTCCCACCAACAGTGTAAAAGTCTTCCTATTTCTCCACATCCTCTCCAGCACCTGTTGTCTCCAGATTTTTTTAATGATCACCATTCTAACTGGCGTGAGATGGTATCTGAATGTGGTTTTGATTTGCATTTCTCTAATGACTAGTGATGGTGAGCATTTTTTCATGTTTGTTGGCCACATAAATGTCTTCTTTTGAAAAGTGTCTGTTCACATCCTTTGCACACTTTTTGATGGGGTTGCTCTTTTCTTGTATATTTGTTTTCATTCTTTGTAGATTCTGGGTATTAACCCTTTGTCAAATGGGTAGCTTACAAAATTTTTTTCCCATTCTGTTGGTTGCCAGTTCACTCTAATGATTGTTTCTTTTGCTGTGCAGAAGCTTTTAAGTTTAATTAGATCCCATTTGCCTATTTTGGCTTTTGTTGCCATTGCTTTTCGTGTTTTAGTCATGAAATCCTTGCCTATGCCTATGTCCTGAATGGTATGGCCTATGTTTTCTTCTAGGGTTTTTATGGTGTTAGGTCATCTGTTTAAATCTTTAATCTCTCTGAAGTTAATTTTTGTATAAGGTGTCAGGAAGGGGTCCAGTTTCAGCTTTCTGCACATGGTTAACCAGTTTTTCCAACACCAACTGATTTTTGATGAAAGTGCCAAGGACATTCATTGAAGAAAGGATTATCTCTTCAATAAATCTTGCTTAAGAACAAAACATAAAGAAAAATGCTTCAGGAAATTGGCATGTGGAAAAATTGTGAATAAGACCTTTAAAATGGAGGCAACTAAAGCAAAAATATATAGAGCAAAACAAATCAAAAATATCTGCGCAGCAAAGTAAACAATCAACAGAATGAAATGGCAACCTACAGGATGGAAAAAAATATTTGCAAACTACTCATCTGATAGAGGATTAATACCTAGAATTTACAAGGAACTCAAACATGTGAACAGCAACAACAAGAAAATACCTTATTAAAAATGAAGAAATGATCTGACCAGACATTTCTCAAAGCAGGCATACAAATGGTAACAAATATATGAAAAAAATGCTCAGCCTCACTAATCATCAAGGAAATGCAAATCAAAACCATAATTGCATATCATTTCACTTAGTTAAGATGACTATCATCAATAAGACAAAATTAGGAAATGGTGATAAGAATCCAGAGAAAAAGGAATTCATACACTGTTGGTGGGAATATAAACTAGTACAGTCACTATGAAGAAATTAAGTTCTTTAAAAAAATAAAATATAACTACCATAAATATAACTACCATAAAATATAACTATTTGCAATCTCAGTACTGGGCATGTATCCGAAGGAGAAAAAAATCATTATATTGAAGGTTCATCTGCACTCCATGTTTATTTGTAGCAGTATTCACAATACCCAAGCTATGGAATCAACCTAAGTGTTCATTAACAGAAGAATGTATAAAAAATGGAGTATATATTTACAATGGAATGCTATTCGGCCATAAGTAATGTAATCCTCTTATTTGTGACAACATGGATAAAACTGGAGGATAGGTTAAGTGAAAGAAGTCAGGCACAGAAAGCTAAACACTGGATATTCTCATTCATGTGTGAAAGCTAAAAAAAAATCTGACCTTATAGATGTAAAAAGCAGCACAGAGGATACTAGAGGCTGGGAAAGAAAAAAGGCAAGGAGGGATAAAGAAATATTTGTTATAGGATACAAAATTACAGCTAGATAAGAGCAGTAAGTTCTAGCATTCTATAGCACTGTAGTTAATAACTATAGTTAATAATGTATAGTTTCAAATAGCTAGAAGGAGGATAATGAAAGTTTCCAACAGAAATAAATAATAAATGTTTAAGATACTGGATATGGTGTCAACTGAAGAATGAAAGTTTCATAAATTTGGAAAGGGTAACATTTTTTCTCTTAAAGGGTTTCAGCCTGCAGGGTGGCCATTCCAACAGGCTGCGAAGCATAGCCTCTGGCCAGAATTTGGAAACAGACGCTTTGAGGGTGGGAAGAATAAGACAGAGATTTATGCTAAAAGAGCCGGCTATATATATATATATATATGTATATATACACACATATACATATATAATAAATATAATATAATATATATTTGTTATAAATATAAATATACATATATATATATATATTCAATATAGAAGGAGCCATAAAAGAAAAAACATACGTATGTCTAATTGAGCTTCACTTTTCTCCATGGGAATCATGTTCAAAAAATGGCTGTGTTAGCATGACCCAAAGTTAGAGTTTTCAGTCCTCTGACTTCAGAAGGTGAAGCAGGGGACTCAATATCCCCTTAGCGCACCTTATCTGTAGACAGAAGAACCTCTCCATGATTGGTAATCTCTTATCAGGAAGGAATGCTGTCAGTTGTTTTGTCAAAGCCACAACAGGAAGGACCAGCATCAGGTGTTTGGTTGAAATCAGCAGTGCAGCTAGTTTTATAAAAGGGCTGCTTTCTGTTTAACCCTTAGGAAAAAAGTCAATGGTAATTATGGGGGGTAGGGCGTATAACGAGACCTGTCTGACCTCCCATTCCATTATGGCAAGCACTCAGTTTTCAATTTTTCCCTGGCATCCCCTTGGCCAACAGATGAGGAGTGGAGGGGGCTTAGAATTTAATTTTTATTTATCAATGGTAATTACCCTAATCCAATCACTATTACATATATCAAAACATCATGGTGTATCCAATGAATATATACAATTATTATTTGTCAATTAAAAATAACTGAAAATATTTAGTAGAGGTAAAATAATACATAAATAAATGCTGTCTTTAGAATCAAATGTGAATTACTATGTTTAGCAATCCACATTTTTGTGGCTCAGAGGAATTATAATAATTAATATAATTTATATTTTAAACAAATCCCTCTGTAGGTAAATAATTGATTTAAGAGGATAAGACCAATTAAGAGATATTAAACTAGTACCAGTTTGAAGTAATGAGTACCTGACATAAGGCAATGCCAGTAAGAATAAAGATTCTTTTGTATGTTTTTCCAGTTTTACCTCAAAAATAATGCTTCATAAACTTTCTCTGGAGATAAAACTGTTTCTATGTTAAGGAGAATGCCCAAATGAGTCTGGCTTTATATATTACAGCTATTTGGAGGAAGCCTTATTTTTGTCTACTCAAAGTTTATGTTATAAGAAACAGAAAAAGGGAACAGAAATTCATTCATGCATTGTTATTTCAGCTTTAGAGCCTCAACTGTGACTCTTCTGAACATGGCTAATAGATTAAAAACTAGAACCCAATGAATACTTTGAAGATAGAAGCTGCATTTTTAACCAATAGCGTAATAACAAGCTTGCTCAATCTTGAGGTTTAGTAATTATTCCTGAAAGAATGATTAAATGTTAAAAATTTCTCTAATACTGTAGATAATTTATAAGTATAATGAATGCATGTTCCAGATTTCATGGGTCAACTCCAAGAGAACAGGCCAAAGACAAAAACAACTTTTGAGACTTTGCTTTGGATCCTTGCAAAGACCATGCAAGGGCCTTCCTTCTGAATTTTGTTTTGTTTTGTGAAGAACACTTCAGAGCACGGAGCATAAAAGCTCAACAAACTGATTGATCTAAGTGTTCTGTATTTATAAAGAAGGGCTAGCAAGGAGGAAGACGTGTCTGGCATTTTCTGCTTTGAACTTAACACACATAATCCAAAGCTATCACAGAAAGAATAATTATTCGCCCTATGATGGATACAGTATCTACAGGTACATCTAAAATGATCAAAATATATAAATGAATTAATGTGTTACAACTACCCTGTCTATACTAGGAGAACAAACAAGTGCTTTAAATAACCAGAACTACCTACTTAACCCAATAGAATCCAGTGGTGATAAATCTAGAGTCAGTAAATCTCAAGAAAGAAAAACGTTCAAATACTTAGAAATTTATTGGGCATTCAATGTTGTTTTGATGGTTGTTTTAGTTGGTGTATATGATTTGTCAATCTTAAAAACCATCCTGGAGAAAATAACAGGACTTTGTAATTACTGTATGTTCAGTTTTTTCAGCCTTACATTAGGTGATAATTTTGTTGAAATTAACTGATGGTAAATAAGAAAACGAATGCCCCTACTTCGGTTCTTAAGAATCTTATTGTTCTCGAAAGCGTTAAAAATGCTGTCATTGGTAATACCATCTCTAGGCAGCTCTCAATATAAAAAAGAAAAAATGTGTTTTGATTGGTATGGATGCCACAGACTGAAGTTTGGGGCTGTATGAAAGAAAGAAAAAGTGATAAGGAGAGAGGAGAGTCAAAGTTCAAGAGATATCCACTGTGACATCTCATACCAAATTTATTTCTGAAACAACATAAGGGGGATGTGTTTCATAACTGCAGAATAGAAAAAGACTTGTCAAAAGTCAAACTCCTGCATTTCCAGAATGAAGTGCAAGAATTAATTGACTCAATGAAGTTTACTCCAAATACTAAACGAGACGATATTTTCTGCTGCTCTAGCTGACAGATTTTAGATTTTTACTAAACTGGTGTATTAATAAACAATATTCTGTAGTCTCACTTTCATGGTTCTTTTCACTGAAATGTTGACATGAATTTTTATTGTTCTTTTTATTATGCAACCTAAACACACCTTTAGTTCTTTTTCCTTGAATTCAAGCTGACAAGGAAAACTTCAAGTGTCTCAATGTACATTCTCATAAAAACCTTGTCAACAGAGGTTATAAAGGTAAACTTAACCTTAATGTGTAATTGGAGCATAGAGAGAATAAAGCTGCTTTACATATGAAAAATGAGAGGTATTCAGAAAAAGAGAAGGAGGGGAGAAAGAGAGAAGTGAAGAAGGGAAGGAAGTAAAGCAATGAAATTTAAAACAGTTAGAAATATCAGGAGGAAAAGGGAAAAGATACTGACCATAAAACTGGAGGATTTTTTTTGCTTTCAGAAGCAGTATACACTAGTCAGTGAGAAGGATTTTGCCACAGGAGGCAAATTGCTTTGGGTTCTCAAAATTGCGGAGTACTTATAAAACACTGAACATATCCCTGGCAACAAGTACTTAACTATGCAGTTTGTTACTTCTTGGGGAAAGTTTCGCATTACATAAATTCGTGTTTCAGAGCCTTGTTTCATTCTGGGTGCAAGCTGAATAGTCGAGTGGGAAGTGACATAGCTTTTATATCAATCATTATGCAAATCTGCCTTTGGATTTACCTCAGATTTAAAATATTCTAAATTCCGTAAAAATTATTATAGTTGGAAAAGTAATATTTTTGTTTAAATAAATGCTCTTTCTCTCAAATCAACCTGCATTCTCCATTAATTGCAGGCTTTGTATGAAAGTTAAAGAAGGCAAAATGGGTGACTGATGCATTTAAATCACAGATTTTCTGTATATTGCCTTTAATATCAGAGCTAGAAGAAATTCTAGTCCTTCTAAGATAGAGAGCTTGAAGCACATTCTCTAAGAGCCCACACTGAATCAGTGACAATAATGAAACTAGACCCCAGGTTATATTGCTCCCAGGCCATTGCACTATATGAGAGCTGATTCTGTGAAACTACAAAGCAAAGGAAGCCTTCAACTGTTTTCAAACAACATGTATTCTTGCCCTCATATTTCTCTGTTTCTCTACTTTACTATATGTCATCCACACCACCCATCATGTTGCAAAAATTTACTTCTTTTGTGAAACTTGACTAACTCCACTCTCCAGCCCACACTTAGTGCAGATTTATACTTCTGACTCTCAGCAGAACATTAAAGTTTTAATTTTATGTATGCATTTGTGCCCTTAATCATATGGTACTTTAAAATTAGTCTTTATTATTCCATGGGCTTGTGTTGTCCTTTCAATTTAATTGCAAGCTTTTTAGGGCAGGGGCACATTTCTTGCTTGCTTAATAACAACTTCCAATACTTTACCAACCACCCACACACAGCCTTACACAGAACAGACAATTGATATAACTTGTTGTTGAAACTAGAGTTTTCAGAGAATTGAAAGCATTTTCAAACATATTTTAAAACTGTTGTTTTTCCAATTGTACATTTTCCTATTTTCCAAATTCTATACAATGACTCTGCACTACTTTTTAAGTAGAAAATTTTATACAATTAAAGTAAATTAGAGATCCACATTTTGTTTTCTTTAATAACTTATTTTCCTCACAGTTTTAGCTAACACCTCTATTCTGATGCTTCCTGAAACTGAAACTTCCTCTGGTCTTTTCACCCAAATCATGTATATGTGTGTTTGACTGCTCATGATCTATCAGGCTCTCTTCAATGTCTGTCTTAAATGTGTTCCCTTATAATGTGTATTCAGTAAGCCAACAAACATTTATCAAGCACTAATCAGTGTTAGATCTTAGGTATACATTGGAAGTGAAACAGAAAATGTTACTCAATGTAGTTTAGTGGGGAGAGATGCAGAACAAGTAGAAAAAAGAATCAATAAAGGTACAATTTATAAATAAGAAAACTACAAATTTAGATTCTCACAGCCAGAAGAGATGTGAGCAAATTCAAGACTTTCTATTTTCTATTTTAAAGTTTCAAAATAAAGAAGATGAGTTACTTTCCCTACACTACAGTGTGATGGTTATTCTTGAGTGTGAACTTGATTAAATTGAAGGATGCAAAATATTGTTCCTGGGTGTGTCTGTGAGAGTGTTGCCAAAGGAGATTACCATTTGAATCAGTGGACTGGGAGAGGCAGACCAACCCTCAATCTGGGTGGGCACCATTTAATCAGCCACCAGCATGGCTAGGACAAAACACAGGCAGAGGAACATGAAAGGACTAGACTATCTAAGTCTCCTGGCCTCCATCTTTCTCCCATGCTGCATGCTTCCTGCCCTCAAACCCTGGACTTCAAGTTCTTCAGCTTTTGGACTTAGGCTTACACCAGTGGTTTGTCAGGGGCTCTCAGGCCTTTGTCCGCAGACTGAAGGCTGCACTTTCGGCTTCTCTACTTTTCAAGGTTTTGAGACCTGTACTGGCTCCCTTCTCTTCAGCTTGTAGGTGGCCTATTGTGGGACTTCACCATGTGATCATGTGAGTCAATACTCCTTAATAAACTCCCTTTAATATATACGTCTATTCTATTAGTCCTGTCCCTCTAGAAAACCTTGACTAATACACACAGCCAATATTAGACTTTTGTGGAGGTCTTGGTTCTCAGATAGGTGTTAGTTTGCTTCCACTTCATCCTGTTTCCCATCCATGTAGATGTTGCTTCATCACATCTAATACAACATGTATTAACAAGCATTAATCAAGAAACAATATATTTCAAAACCTGTACTAAGTTTTCTAGGCATAGATCAATGGAAAACGTCAACAACAGTATCACAAATAAGAAATGCCATTTGTTCTTAAGAGGCTGAATCTTGATAGAAGCTTGTCTATTTTGCTAAACTTCTGAAAGAAGCAGGTTTTGTTTTGTTTTTTAAGTCTCTCTTTTTGTTACTATAGTGTATTGATTTATGTTTTAACATCTATTATATATTCCCTTTTTACAGTTTTTTTAGTTGACTCTGTTGTACGTTTTACACCATTTTAATATTATTACCAATGCAAATTTTATCTTTGAAAATCCTAAATTGAAAGAAAAGATTTAAAGAATACATACTTTCTTTTATTTGCCAGTTTAGCTTCATCATCAATCAGAAATGCAGTGTTTTTATTACTGTTCAATTACACATATTTTATCACTTATATTATTACGTCTTCTTTGAACCATAAATTATATACAATTCTTTTTTTTTGCATTTTTATTTTTTTAATATATGGGAGTCAAGTGCTTTCATTTTATTAATGTTTAATTTTATTATATATTCATCAGCAAAATGGGCTATATATCTTATTTTTAGACTTGCTTTTTGTGACCTGTACATAGTCAATATTGTGTTACATGAATGTGTATTCTCTAAATTGTGGATACAGATAAATGTTCTCGAGACAAAGCTTGTTAACCATGTTTTTATATCTTTATTCATGTTTTGTCTATGTAATCTATCAGTGTCTATGGGGGGATCAGCGCTAAAATCTTCCAGTTTAATTATGGACCTATTTCCCTTTGTAATTGTTCACATTTCCTCTGTATTTTAAACATAAATTACTACAGCATCCTGTTACATTTCTCTATATTTTGCCATTACTATACAATCTCTCAATTTCCTAAAACATAAATTTGAATACATCGTTCTTTTGCACAGAAGTCATTAATGATGCGTTATTTGTCATCTCATCAATTTTGAATATTTTTTTGTGATTTCCATGCATAGACTGCACCCTATATCCACCAATACCTTCTCACTAAATTTCTGCATGATTTCTTCTTCCCTGACATCAATCTCATCTCTACTTCTATGTTGATTCTGCATCTAGGAGTTCCCTCTCTCCCATTCTTAATTTATATAATTCCTAACTGTTCCTTACAGATGTTTTCTCTACAAAACCTTCCTATTCACTCCAACCTGTACCTATCACTCCCTTCTCAGACTCTCAAAGAACTAAGAGTCTGAAGGATATTTGATAATTTTCTGGTTTTCTTGGACTGGAAAGTCTTTAGGGAAAAATCTCATTTATACATTACTAGGTATAGCACAAGGTAGGAAATATTTATATGAAATCAAAGACTAAAGATACAATCTTTTGAAAGAACTGACATGGTAGTTTAGTTGGGTCTATCATGAAAACCCAGTTGATTTTAATTTGAGTAGACAAAATTATTTTATTATTGGTGAATTAATGAAAGGTTTTGTCATTCTAATGAAAGAGAAAAGAGAATAGCAAGACAACCCCAGCTGCTAAATGGTAGGTGAAACACCCCAATTTCTGTACTCTAGATATTACATTCCTTTGAACAATTCATACTTTTATTTAACGTGGCTGCAATGGAGAATAAAATGCTAAAAAAGACAGTCCTTTCCCCTTCTTTTTCATAAAAAAGAAAAGGATTAAAAAAATTAGGAGATATTTTCAAAATGTTAGTTGCAGGTTCAATTTATTTCATAGCAGTTTATTACAAGCTTCAGTACACAGGATGTTTTCTGCAGAGTGATCACTAATCAAAGTCTTATTAAGAAATGTTATTTGTGGTAAGCCATTGAAAGAGTATCTGTCTCAATACTCTAATTTCTTCTCTCATAGTTTGATTTTGGGGAGCTCGATCATATGGCATAAAATCTTATCCATAAAAATGGACCAAAATGAGGGCTTTGACATTATAGTTAATGTCCAATTATCTGAGAGTGGATATTCAAAAAAATCTTACTTTCAAGTACTTAAAATATCCTTGCTGGTGTAATTATAGTTTTAAGATATTTTGTATAATCACCTCTTCTTACTGAACTTTAGGGAATTAGGTCTATTATTCTAGGAGTTGATTGATTTTGAGGAAAGATTACTTATTCTCCACTCCACATGTTTCCATGTGGAAGCCTTCCCCAATATGTAATACTCTTGGACAGTCTCCTCATCAGAATGGCTTAACTGATTTGTGAGCCTAGGAGAATAAACTGGGGGAGCTTGGTAAAATCCTTGGTCTTTTTCAGACTGGGATCTACTGTCTGGCTAAACACATGTTTTTCAGGGTCATCTTTGTGTCATAACACAAAATGTTATACCCTCACATAATGAGACTTGAAATTCCCCAGCTGTGCTGGTGATATCAGATCTCATGATCTTAATCATTTATTTGCACTGTTAGTAAATTCAGATATTATCTTAGGTTAAATAAATTGCCCAAGGCCATGAAGATGTTTAGGGTTGAAATTGAAATTCTAACACAGGTGTTTCTGATTATAAAGCTGATTTTTTTACCAAAATCACTTACTTTATTTATGCAAATTTATGTTAAACCCAAAGAATTCTCTTTTTGAATAATGTAGGATGCCAGGGACCAGATTAAAAACCATAAAAAAAAATAAAAAAACCCAAACAGGAAAAAAAAAATGTGTGAATCAATTGCTTTCAGAACACTAGATATAAAACAATGGGGGAAAGTGATACCAGAGAGAAGGGGAAACAAACTGAGCACTGTGTTTGCTCAAAATTGTTTCCTTGAGTTTCCAGGCTGCAATACAGAATAAAATAATTCAAGTGAAGTAATTTTTTAAAATTATACATTAAGTTCTGATATACACGTGCAGAACGTGCAGGTTTGTTCCATAGGTGTACATGTATTGTGGTGGATTGCTGCACCCATCAACGTATCATCTACATAGGTATTTCTTCTAATGTTATCCTTCCCCTAGATCCCCACCGCCAGACACGCCCTGGTGTGTGATGTT